TAGTATATTTTATGAAAATTAATCTGAATTAAATATGAATGTAGATAATGCGTTGTATATACTAGAACTGCTTTTTTATATTATTACATCGGATATATATAACTACTATATGTACATAAACATAATATTTTAATATAACACATTTTTTATATTAGATATAATCCAATTAGATCGACAGATATATCTCAGATTAATTGTAATTCTTAAACTCTATTTGATAAATTTAATATGATGCTTTGGAAGCACAAAATATATAACTGAAAACAAAAGTAAATTTACTTTTGAGACAACGTATATAACATTAATAATGTTGAAACATTATCAAAATAATATGGCATTCATTTTGTATTTTTGCTGAATTTTTGGATTTTTGTATAATAAAAAAAAATTTTGAATATAACAAACTCATTCCTTCATCAATTTTCTAAGTCTAGCTTTAGTGTAATAAATTGTTTTAATTTAATCTTAAACGTGACTACATGCAGGGGGAGGGTGATAAAAGAGAAGAAAATATAAAATTGTTTTATTAAACAAATGTATTTTCATTATCGAGGACTCATACCGTAAACACAACATTGATAATTTGTGTGTTATGATCTCTAGATCAGTTAACACTTTAAATGCTAAATTTACTACTCACACACATTTGTTACACATATTGCGGTACAGTTGTTAATAGTTATTTCTCTTTTTATTTATTCCCAAAAAAATGATGTCTCATTTTTAAGTTACATTCCTCGTTATGATTTTTATATAAGTTTTCATATAATATTACGTTAGTCTAATTACTTATTTTATGTAACATTAATGGAGGATCGTAATATGCATTAACTTGCCTTCGATACTTATTCTTATAAAAACTCGTTTTATTTAGTATATTAGGAGGGCACTCCTTAAATAGTTTATTTAACGTGTCCAATTTGGTACACGAAGTAACATGTGTCAATATACTTAATAAAAACTTTATGTTATTTATATATAAAAAAAAATATTACACTTATTATCTATACATCTCTTCTCAAAAAAGATTATTATATATATATAGCATTTGTGCTGCATAAACAAAGTTATTATAGAAATAGTAAACATGTTATATGAATAATTAACAAAAAGAAACAAAAAATATATTATAATCTTAACATTAAATAGATCTGAAGAACGCAAATGTTAATTTTACTCTACAAATATGCTAAACCACACACACACACACAACACACACAAAAGCTAGCATAATATATATTTTGGCTATATATATATATAAAAGATATTTAGAAATATTCTTAATTTATAAATTTCTCTTCTTCATGAGTTTTGTTATTGTTGTAGTAAATGATAATGTGTTTAAAAAAATTATTTAAAAAAGAAAGAAATATTTTTATAAAAAAACAAATATACTTTCTTTTGAATATAACTACGAGAGAAATATGAAAAAATAATTTTTTTTAAATCAATTCTATCATATACACGAACAAACTATTATCATTGTTAATGAAAGTATAAACCACAAAAAGAATATATTTATGAATGCAATAAGTTTACACATTGCAATTTTTTGTTTTTATAAAATATGATTACATATTTTATTTAGCTTAAATTTCTCAAATGATAGAGGAAGTATTTTTTATGAGTATATATATATGCTTATTTTGTTCATCCTTATTTTCGATATCAATATATTTGGATTATATTTATTGGCTACTATTGGTCCTTGCTTCCTATAGCAGTTTAATATTGATTTTTACAGCGGCTAATTTTTTTCGTAGCATATATGTTATTCATTAATAGAACATTAATTACAATTGAATTTCATTCAATTAGATGAGTATAATAAAGACCAAAATTGGCCAAAAAATACTATTCCAATAGCTAAAACATTTCTTTTGGTCTTTTAAAATGCATTCTATATATTATGAATCATTATATTTAATATAGATGTATATATTTTGAAATAACTAATTTTTTCAATGGTTCGATTCATTATAAAAAAAAAGTGGATGAGCATAATAAATTTTATTTATTATAGAAATAAATTAAATGAAAGATAGAAAGAAAAGAAATAAATAGTACAAATTTAAATGAAAAATTTTGTATAAAATAATATTATCAAGTAACAGTAAAACGTATCAATAATAATCGATAATATATAATTTTACTAAATCCACTGAAAATATAATTCTATTTTTTTTCTTTTTTATAAATATGACATTTTTTATATATATGGTCCTATTATATTCAGTGCATGTGTATATAATTTTGCTCTTGTTATAAAACATATCGATTTTCTTACCAAAATGTCTATACTTGCCTTTTGGATATTCAATATAATAAAGTGCTCATTTGCAATACCGATTAAAAAGTTCTCTTTTCGATCTATTTTAAATATATATAGATACTCAGATTTATGGATAATCTGAGGAAAAATGTCGCATATATATTACAACATGCTTAGATTTTAATATCATACCTAAGCTGAACAAAATATTTCTAATCAATGTGCTTGGTTTATAGCAGATTTCGTAGTTACAAATATAGTGCTAGATATATACTATTATATTAGTAATTTTTTAATATTACTAATGTAATCTATACTATACATCTATATATTTTGTATATATATATATTATGTATGATTCTAAAGTAGTAGTATTTTATCTAAATTGTTTTTTAATATGTCATTTTCAATTACATAAATTATACGTATATACATTGTGTCGAGTAATATAAAAACAATATTTTGCTAATAGTTTGCAAAATTATTTTCTCTTTAACAATTAAAATGCTGATGGTTGCATTTAATATTAATTATTTGGTTTAGAATAACAAAATTTAGTATCTTTATAAATACCATTTACGTTGGGATATTTTAATAAACGACATTAAATATATTTCACTTATAGAGAGATCAAAAGATCATTATAGATGATATAAATTTGCGGATTATATTTAAAAGAATTGTATACGTTGTTACCAAAATATTTCTAGTTAGTAACTTTGTGCAGTCCAATATGTTTCAAAAGATTGTAGAAATTATAAATACGCATAACTTTTTTTTAATAGCCAAAAGCGCAATACAGAATACTTATAATTTTTCCATTATTCTAATAGCATATTGAAACAAAAAGTGATTTTTTTCCAAACTGCATTATGTGTTATGTACACATACAAATATAATTACCCATTATGTATATTACACAACTTTATCCGCATATTTAAATAAATTGAACACAGCGGTTCAATATTACAAAATCTCACTGTTGTAATTATGCATTATTGTTTGTTTAAATGTTCTACAAAAGATGAAAAATGTTTGTAATTAGTTTATGGAATGTAGTACACAATGTATATAAGATTTTATTTCAAGAAAATTGAAATATATTAATTAACATTATCAAATGTATATACATATGTATATATACTTGACTTTCCTTACTTTGCATATATATATATATATATCCTTGTTCACTCTAGTTTACATCATCCTCTTACAAGATGTATCGTGGAATTTATTTAAGATAATTTAGAATATACTTTGTTTTAGCTCCCATGGCAGCATTTACTGTGAAATATATATTAAAATTCTCTTGGTAGTTTTCTTAATTATATAATTAAAAAGATTTGCAAATTGCATGTAATATAAAATCTGTGAATATATATATACTAATTTTGCTGATAGTTAAATAATATATAAGTAAATTGGCAGTTAAAAGTAGTTGTAAATTATAATATAATAATGTGCTGAAGTAACAATTAAAATTATTTTTTAATTCATTGATTTTCAATTTTACACTTATTAATCCTTAAGTATGAGTAATTAACAAAATCGACATAAAATTAATTGTGAATCTCGTACTATAAACATTATTTGTTAAACTTATTCGATAGATTATAATTCGCATAATTACAACAAGAAATTAGAAAATCTTCATATCATTTACGCGTGTATAGTTTGATATATTGTTTATGTATTAGCAATTGAAAAAGAAAATGTACCTTATTGTTATTATAAGAATAATGATAGGAGACAATTATTTATAGACATATTATTAGATACATAAAGACCATTTTCAATTGATTGTACAAAAAAGTTTTACTTTGCAATATTATTATTCACATTAGTAAAAAGATATCGCCTACTTGTACTTGTACAAAATATATTACATGCAAATAATATATTTTATGAGACAGCAGCATTAGTATAAGTAGTAATATTATAATAGCGTAGTATAATGAATATATAGTCATACATAATTATTGCTGATAAAATTTATGTTTTGAATGAAAAATAATATATCTTGTACAAATAAGACGTGAAAGTGATCGCGTTTGAATTGATCGATAGACTTGTTTATATTAGTTTCTCGTCTTGTTTGAATCTAAAAGGAACGTGTTGACATATGTAATAGTGAGTGCTGATGACACTGTGTAAGTTGCTCCCATTAGGCAACAACAATAACAACAATAACAACTAGTTACACATCAGAAAGAGTCTAGGAAGCAACGTGGAGAAATACAAGGAATTCCAGAATTTAAACCACGCTGCGAGTGGCCACGGTCACACACTATCTGGACTACTTGTTTCATCGCCGCAAACTTGTTCAGCATCACTGTCACTAGGTGGACTTGGTTGTTCAAGTTGATATTGATTAAATTCATGAATATGATCTTGGTGATGTTGCAAAAGACTATGATGATGATAGCAGTGATGACGTTCTTCTACACGTTGATGTAGATCATCAATGTGAACTTCTTGAACAGGTCTTTTAAGTTTATTACACAGTAGGCATATAAACAGAACAAATAAAACAGAAGCTGCAGCAGATACAGCTGGGATGACATAACTATCTGCTGGTACCATAGCAGCACCTGTAAATTTACGAATAAAGTCTTTTTTGACTGTGTACTATTATAATACATAATATAAATGTATATATATATAATCCGAATACATTTTCTTAAATCATACACGAAATATCTATGTACATTTTATCAATATGTACAAACTTAATCTCGTTTATTTTTATATATTATTGAAGCACCTAAACACAATAAAATTGTTTATCACAATACATCTAACAAATAGAATTAAAATTACAATTTCTATGGTGCTATAGTTTTTTTTAGAAGGGTTTTAGTGTTTAATATAGATGATTATAAATTTTTTATTTGCAAACTTCATAGGTCACTGATAGAAAACTACAAGAAGAAGAGAGAAAAACAATACAATTCAGGAAGTATTTTGCAAGACTCACAGAGATAATATAAAAATCACATGCATTTAAATGATTAAAAGGGACATAATAAATAGCATCCCGCATGCTTTTTGATTTCAGTGTTACCACATATTATTATAATATTTAAGTTAAATGATGTATTGTAAAAAACTGTCGATGTTATTTTGTTTTTATAATGATCAAAAAATATTGTATTTTTTATCTAGAAAAATCAAATGATACCATACATTATTTCCTGTAAAAATCAGGGTATAAAAAAATGAATATGGGTCATTGTACAGTTGACAAGAAAAACAAAATATGTTTTAAGTTTATAGTATCTTAATATATATTTTTCATATTCGTTGACTCCCAATAATCAATACTAGCAGTCGTTAATGTTTTCTATCGTCAAGATGTGTTATTGATGTACTGCGTAATGTTTAGAAAACTTGTTTATCATAAAACAATGATTCAGGAATTGCTGTAAAAAAAGCCGTTGTTTTTATTGGAAACACATCAATCACTTCAAGAATTTTATGTGGAATGATGTGCAATACTGTGAGAGAACTCACGTGATAAGGGAGATCATAACATGCCGGATCGTCGGAAGCTTCATGAGGGGCTCAGATGGCCACGAACATAAAGCACAGAGAGAGAAGAAGCATGGCAGAGACTCCAGCCAGTGCTGGTGACAATGGGGCTGATGCTGCACCTGCGACACCACACAAGCATTCATCCGCTCAATCCTACCACTCTCTCACCTGTACATACGTGTACAACTACTTACCCAGCAATTTAAATTTAGTATGTATAGGCATCGCATATCATCTTTTTTTTTCTATAAATGATTTTTTTCTTATCGACTCTTTGGAATGGACTATTATGTATATTCTATATTTTGTTAAGAATTAATTTTCTTTCTTTTTGTTTTTTATAATTTATTCGATAACTATATATGTACCGCATATATATATATATATAATTTATAAAACACTCGTCTCTCTTTTATTTAAACAAACATGATAATACATGCTTCGTGCAGTATCTACAAATTTTATGTGGTATATGTATACATATTTGCTTGGGATTTTATTAGGTATGTGATATAGTAGTGAAAATAGTATAAAAGATTTAAAAAGAGAGATCATAAGGGAAACACTATTAAATTTTCGAAATAGTAAAAAATAAATAAATCAATAACAATTATATAATATTTAATATATGTATAAAAGATTTTCCTGGAAACATTAATATTTTTCTTTTTACTGTGTCCAGAAAAATAAATAAGATTATAAAGATAGAATTACATTTATACCTTTAATAAATACATTCATTTCATTAATACTGAACGAGTCATGTATCTCGCCATATAATGTTAATAAAATGTTGGAAAATTTCATAATAGAAAAAGAAAATTTGGATATATACAGGGTGTCTTGTAACTGGTACAAACGAGCAGGGAGTAATTATACATGAAAAACTAAAATAAGTCAAAAATGTAGAATCACTCCTGTTCATTGGTACCCCCAATTATAAGATTCACTGTATATATATATATATATATAT